CTTGGCACTGACTGCACGTTCAGGTATCTTTCAGTTACATCTGGACTCCACTGGAAGAGATTCTGATTGACACCTCATACTCCTTGCTCCAGCTCCTGCCCTGGCTCTTTGGTCAGCCCAAATGTTTCATTACCTGGCCTGCCTTTCAGCTCAAAGTGATCTCAGCTGTAGCGGCCGACAGCACAGTCTGAAGGCTGGGGTATGCCAGAGGGGAACTGTTGTCCAGCACCCAGGAAACAACTCAAAATCAGGATTCAGACCTAAAACTCTCCTGAGAATCCAATGGCTGAACACCACCACGGGGAGCCTCTTTCTGATTTTCTGTCTTCTTGCTCTAGGTCTGCTGAACCCACTCCTAGAAAAGAGTCCATCCTCCCATCACTCTGGTCCTCTGGTTCACTCGATGTGGCCTCCAAGGCCCTGCATGGTTGAATCTCTGCTCTCTTCTGCAACCTCATCTCCTACTTATCTGTCCTCAGTTTAGGCTCTGCAGTCACCCGGGCCTTTGGTAGTTCCTAGAGAAGCCCACTGCCTCCTCCCACCCCAGGACTTTTGCACGTGCTGCCTGTAACACCCTCCTTCCCCTTCCCTCCACCTACTATATGCTTAACTCCTATATTTCCTTTAGCTCTCATCTCAGTTACCCCTTCCTCTGGGAAGCCTTTTGGGTGCCCTGCATGTAGGTCAGGTTCCTTTGTTATATGCTTGCACAGAATCATGTTCTTTCCTTCTACACCTTTAGCAATGCACGGAACTAGCAAAAAGTAGATTTTCCTCAATGGCCTCACAGGTCTTAGGTCAAATTCTAAGCCAGACATCAAATCTTGAATTTCTGCACTTCTCTCCAAGCAAACCAAACAGGCAGTAGATGTCCCCTATTCTTCTGCCATATGATAATTCTTTATATAACCCAGTGTTCCAAACGATCATATTTGAAATTGATTAGGAGACTCCAAAATTACTGTAGTTCAACTACCTTACTAACATTTATGTTCCAAGAACTATAAAATAAATGGAAATTGTGGGAAAATCTTTGCACATCTGGAGAATGTGTTTTTATCTTCCAGTGTTCCTTCAGAACTGTAAATCTTTCATTTTACACATTGAAGAAGTTTATTTACCAATATTGAAGTTTTATATAAAATAAAATTCCATTTTAATTTTTATAATTATCACTGTTTTTAAAAAAATCCTTTTTTTTTCTTTTTATTATGAAAAGTAGAATAATACAATGAATCCCTAAGTACTGTTATCTTCATGTACCCATCAAAATTGATCAATGGGCAATCATGTTTCATCTGTACTCCCTGTTACAGCGACATTACTGCTTTTCTTTCTCTTTCTTTCTGTTTTGAGACTGAGTCTTTTCAAAGAGTCTATTTATCTCTAAAACAGATTGCTTTGTTGTTTTAAAGCATACTGGGAAAACTGAAATTTGCCATCAGTTTGAGTTCCTGCATCTCTTTACCCATCTATTGAATCTAGAATGGAATAAAAAATTTCATTGTAAAATCTAAAGCTCAAATCTTAAATATCTATCTGTCAAAATGTCAGGTACTCCAGCATGTAAATGGATTAAGTATAGCTCAGAGTAAAGTTTGTATTGTTTCCCCTTTAAATAGAGAAGCAAATTTGGGTAAGAGCTTTACCATCATGAAAACAATTCAAGACAATGTTCTTTAAAAGAAAATTACTCTGTGGTGACGTAGTTCAACTCTCCCTGTAAATTCTGAAAAGGCATTGATTAATAATAATAATAATATAGTTCTGAGTCTCTTAAAGTCTCCTCCTGCTTTATTAACTGGCTCTTTGTCTTTGAAAGTAGACAACCTGGATTAATATTTGCAGATAAAAAGCCTGAGAGGGCCAGTGGTATGACTGAGATTAAATCAGAGCTGACACTCTCGGTTGTTTACCAGACAAGCACACCCCTTCTGTCTGCTCTGCTTGGGCACTGAGTCCAGTGGTGTTAGGGAAAAGCAGCTGCTCCCCTGGGCCAGGAAGGACTCAGATCGTGGGAACCCCCAAGTGTGACTCCATTCCCTGCACTGTGATTGGTATAGAGGGACTGCGTGATTTACTTTGAGCCAGTTAGGTGTAAGGGGAAGTGAACTGAAGCTTCTGGGAAAGATTTTGTCCCAATAATGGATAGAGAGAAAGTAGGAAGGACCACTCCGACCCTTGCCTTCTACCTGGAATGCAGTTGCTGAAGAGATGGTACCGGGAGCTGTGGCAGCCACACTGTGGGAGGTGAGACAATTCTGACCCACTGAGGGCTGAGCAGTGGAACAATGGAAAAAACCTGGCTGCTTGAGGTCCTCAGCAGGACTCTAAATAGACCCTACCTCTGGATTTTTTGCTGGATGTAGAGAAAATAAACTTCTCTATTTAAGGAACTTGTTATTTATACTGTTGTTGCATTTAAGAACAAACAAACTAATATGGAACCAATACCAGTCTGTTTAGCTTATGCACATTTCCAGCAGATACAGCATATATCTTAACAGAATGGCAAGGGCTGGTTTTACTGGTGTGGTTAGAGTCACTTCAATCCGATTCACTGAACATTTTCTGGGCACCTACTATGTGCCAGTTTCTGTGCTAGGTATTGTGAAGCTAAATATATAAAAGAAATAGTCTCTGTTCTCAAAAACACCTGTCTAGTGAATCTTAAAAGAAAGGCATGAAACTTCCAGGGGATATTTCCTTGAAGCAATAAGACTGCTGTGTTCCAAAGTGCTGGATTTGGCATTCAAGGATTGGTAAGCGTGCCTGGGTAAGAAGTCACCTCACTCAGAAATAATAAAATCACACATAGAAACATCCTATAAGAAGGCTGGTCTCAAGCATAGCTGATTGACAGACACATGCAAGCCCAGGAGCTCTAGGAAGGGGTCTGACCACAGAATAACCCCTCCTATGGCCTACATTCCACACCTGGAAACTCATGGCTTTGGCTTAAGAATTTGCCCCTTGACCCAGCATGGAGGCTCACGCCTGTAATCCCAGCATTTTGGGAGGCCGAGGTGGGTGGATCTTGTAAGGTCAGGAGTTCAAGACTAGCCTGACCAACATGGAGAAACCCTGTCTCTACTAAAAATACAAAATTAGCCAAGTGTGGCGGTGCATGCCTGTAATCCCAGCTACTTGGGAGGCTACAGCAGGAGAATTGCTTGAACACAGGAGGTGGAGGTTGCGGTGAGACAAGATCATGCCATGGCAGTCCAGCCTGGGCAACAAGAGTAAAACTCTGTTTCAAAAAAAAAAAAAAATTGCCACTTGCTAAATTGCAACTACCCCTGAAGAGCAACACACTGTTTGTTTCGTCATTTAAAAGGAGAATTAGAGCCTTCATGAAGGTTCTGGGGACCTGAATAAAGGTGGGTGGAAGTGGAAGGAGGAGAAGTGGGCGCCAAAAAGGAGCTTGGGAATACTAAGGAGATTCACGTTTTAGCTCAGGGTCTGCTCTGAGCCAGCTGAAAGAAACCACAAAAGGGCAAGTGATTTGTGATTTTTCTGACCATTCCATCTTTGGCCTGGTTTTTCTTTTTAAAAAGTTTTATGAAAAATGGAGACACACTCAGAGAGTGTAGAAGCTTTCACAGAAAGATCCAATTGGTCTCTCTAGTGTGGAAATCAAGTAGGGTAGAATCAGGAGAGAGAGACCCCATCCTGCTATTCATAGCTCTTCCAAGTAGCCTTCCAGGGATTCAGTGGGAGGGGAGAAGCCCTTTGCATTCCAGTCACTAAATTGAAAAGCATAATTATGCAAAAAATGTAAACAAAAATTAGCCAACTGAGAGGGATGCTGCCTTCAGAGTACTGCAAGAATGTCCGCCACCCACACTTCCTCCTCCCTGACCCTTCCTTTTTTGCCTGTAGCCCTAACTTCCTGGCATCTCCTTTTGTTTCTCTTGGAGCTCAGCGCATTGTCTGTTCCTGGACTATCTCCCGGGCACTCTTGTCTACAAAGGGTTTCAGCTCTAAAGTTTGCACTAATCATTGCAACCAAACTGAAATACAGAGACGAAACATTTCAACATGTATGGATGAGAACAGCATAGATCTGTCTATGCAAAGTTTTGCATAAATTACCACAGGTCCTCAAATAACATTGTTGTTCAATGTCATTTCATTATAAGGTTGATGAGAAAACAATTGATTCCTATCCAGGACCATGTCTGTGTGGAGTCTGCATGCTCTCCCCATACCTGCATGGGTGTTCTCCAGGTCCTGTGGATTCCTCTCAGTACCAAAGATGCTCCTGTGAGGTGAACTGGTGTGTCTATGTGGTCCCAGTCTGAGTAAGTGTGGGTGTGTGTGAGTGTGCCTCCCGATGGCATGGTGTCCTGTCCAAGGCCAGTTACCACCTTGCACCCTGAGTTGCTGGGACAGACTCTGGCTACTCTTTAACTCTTAACTGGAATAAGTGGATAAGTATCTTGTTTTTAGTAACCTGTCTTAAATGCATGTAAATCACATTTATTTCAATGTTTTATATTTAGAAGTGTTTGATCTTTTTTGTTTGTTTGTTTAGAGACAGGGTTTTGCTTTGTCACCTAGGCTGGAGTGCAGTGGTGCAATCATAGGTCCCTGCAGCCTTGACCTCCTGGGCTTAAGGGATCCTCCCACCTTAGCCCACTGAGTAGCTGAGACTACATCCATGCACCACCACCCAGGCTAATTTTTTAATTTTTATTTTGTACAGATGAGATCTCATTATTTTCGCAAGGCTGCTCTCAAACTATTGGTCTCAAGTGATCCTCCTGCCTTGGCCTCCCAAAGTGCTGGGATTACAGGCATGAGCCAACACACCCAGCCTGCTTTCATCATTATTTAGAAGCTTGGAGATGTTTTTGTGACCAGAGATCGGCCATAGGAACTTAGCTCTTGTTTATATCAATTAGCCCACAGTAAAACTGGATTGTTATACGTCATTTTGCCTAAAGTCACAGTTTCCAAGAACATATCAACAATGTTAATGTGAAACGAGGACTTACTGTATCTTTGTATCTGAATAGCGAATTTTTCATTTTTGACCAGTGAGGAATCTCTGACCACTTTCATTCATTACTTTTCTTCTTTAAGCATTTCTTGAGTTCCTACCAGGTGCCAGGCAGCAGGATGGGTATGGAAGGCACAATGGTGAGCCTATAGACACAGTGTTTCCTCTTGAGCCACTTTCATTCCACTGGGGAACGCACTGAGAAAGTGTCCTAAGTGTTGTAAATAGAATTCTTAGAATCTACGTCAGGGAAACCTCACGGAATGGGTGATGCACAGTTCCCTTAAAGAAGCGAGAGACGACATCATCAGGAGAAGATAGAAAGACACTGGTTGAACAAAATAACAGCAGCCAGCACCTGTAGTGAGGATTTGAGACCATAAATGTGGACAGAACTAGCTTAGAGCCTCCAGTGGAGGAGATGACCAGTGAAACAGCATTTGTGCTGAGTCAGGGCTTGGCTGGGCCACAGGGGTGCTCCTCTTAGCCTTGAGGGAAGGCTGACATAGAAACAAGCACAGTACAATGGGGGACGTCCAAGAGGCAGCACCAGAGAGCCCCAGAGCTAATGCTGGGCAGCAGAGGGAACTAATGTGGCATGGAAAAGTACAGCCTGTAAAAAACGTTTCTAATTCAATTATTCATAAGTTATGTGAGTCTCCCCAACTGGCAACTGTTCAGCTTATTTGTGAACCAAAATTTTAAGACTGTTAGTTTTGGGGCATTTTATTTAGATGACTGTCTAATAACATTTATCAGTGATTTCATTCCCACATACCATTGTACCTCTTCACCAGGCCAATAGATAAATAACCTCAGGCTTTCTCTCTCTCCTCTGTGAGACAGCAGAGGGAGAGAGGGGTGGGGTGTCCCAGAAGGAGTAAAGGACTGTACAGGGATTCCTGTGGCCATTCCTTCCCAGTGTGGTCTCTGGCTCTAATTAGAGAAATCCTATCTTCCATAGATCTGCCTTTCAAAGGGACATAAACGACACTGCCTAAGGCTATTAGTGCATTTTTAAAAAGCTAAAAACACAGAAAATCCTCGAAGTATTTTATAAATAAATGCTTAGAAAAACTTGATGAGCACCAGAACTTTCAGCAAAACTCTGTTTCACCCCAGTTAATATGCCTTGCTAAGAGAGCCCAGACTCCAGCCTCCCCAGTGGAAATGTTTGTGATGTCTGTGCATTTTCCTGTAATATGTTTAGAGGTCCACATTGCTTGTAAGTGAGCTAAAGCTTAAATGCCTTAATTATGCCTAGGGGGCACCAGGCAAGAAGGGGAAATGGCTTTAAAAAGAAACCAATGCTGTCTCCCTACTCTCCAGTCACAAAAAGTATATCGCAGTAAACTGCATTACAGAGATGTAACTTTACCAACTGAGAATGCTGGGTCCATGGGCACTTGGTTTTCTTTCTGCCCAGGACTTTTATGACATAGGGGTTTTCTAGGTTTCTTGCGATGTGAGGTTTAAAGTCAATGGAGCATCTTAAGTAGGTTGGAAATGGCTTGGGAGGCAGAGACAGCAGCAGTAATAGGGGAACTGGGAGGGAGGATAAGAACTTGCCCTTTCCCTGAAAGATTTCTCCTAGACCCAGGACACTCTCCATCCCTACATTGTTGGGTAGGAAGCCTGTATTAGTCTGTTCTCACATTGCTATAAAGAAATACTTGAGACTGGGTAATTTATAAAGAAAAAAGGCTTCATTGGCTCAGAGTTCCACAGGCTGTACAGTGCTGGCATTTACTCCACCTCTGGGGAGGCCTCAGGAAACTTTCAATCGTGGCGGAAGGTGAAGGGGGAGTAAAGCACTTCACGTGGCTGGTGCAGGAGGAAGAGCATGAGTGGGGAGGTACTACACATTTTTAAACAGCCAGAACTCTATCTGAGAACAGCACTAGGGGCATGGTGCTAAGCTATTAGAACCACCCCCATGATCCAATCATCTCCCTCCAGGCCCCATAGCATTGGGGATTATATTTCTATCTGAGATTTGGGTGGTGACAGAGATCCAAAGCACATCAGAACCCAAGACAGTCACTGAGAGTCAAGACAAATAGTTCTGAAGCTTACTTTTCCAGTAACTAGTTTAATAGCCTCAAAAAAGTTGCTTCACCTCCCTGGACCTTGTTTTCTCATTGGTAAAAGTCTTCTTTAGCCCTGTTAGAAGCAAATTCTTCTGTGCTGCAAAAAATAAATAGCACTTGAACATAAATTTTCTCAGCAAGGCAATTTTTACTTCTATAGAAGGGTGCATTTCATGGATGGAGCAGAGAGCACACCTGAATGGGGATGGTAAGGGGGTCTTATCCTTGATACAGGTAGCCCTTACTGCTGGGTCGTTCCTCTATTGGCTAGGGTTGGATCGCACAGTCTAAACTAATTCTGATTGGTTATTTTAAAGAGAGCAGGGGTACAAGCCAGAGTGGTGGGGTGAACAGTTTCAGTGGGAAAGACCGTTACAAAACCGGTAACTAAAGGTGACTCAGGTCAAAGCAGGTGACCAGGCGTGAATCAGGACCAAGCCGGTGACCAGGAGAACAGATGTGAACTACTGATTAGAGCTGGCGGGTAGGTTGTTTACTAAAACTAGGGGCAAAGCAATGATAGAACAAGGACATTAAACCTTAAAACAGAGAACAAAGAATAAGGAGCTGAACATACTGACATACTGATTCTTTGAAGAGAAATTTTAGAACCTACCATGTTTAACAGCCCAAAGGGTGCTAAATTCCTTCCAGTTCTGCAATGCTTTGATTTGTGGATCTGAAGTCAATTCTAGAGGTATGGCTGAGAAGGTGGGGGTTATAGCCACCATGAGTATGCTCACAAGTCAGAACATGAGCATTTTAGATGAAGAAGCATTTTCAGGCAGCAGAAGCTGTTAAGTCTATGAAGCATTTGTAAAGTATTACTAGACAGGAAGACTGCAGAGGGTACGTTACTCCCCTTGCTTTGAAATGCCCGTGAGATGCCCATTATGAACTAAGGCCACCTGTATACGTCCAGTGTCCAAAGCAGCTTCCCCCCACAAAGCAGTCATCAGAGACACCCAATGAAGAACTACAGCTTCTTCTGTGTCGTTAAAGTGTGTGGGTACCTCTGTTCCTATCAGCCCAAAGAACTTGATTTGAAAAGTGCTTTTTTTCCCCCAAAAGCCTGTGAACATCTTTCTTTCTTTCCCCAGCCTGACATTATTATTATAATAATGTTTCCCTTTCATAATATCCCCTTGTCCTCTCTGAAAACCAGAAAAATACTTAAAAATCACAGTCTGAAAGGGCAGCTGTCACCCTAAGACGTCATCCCCATCTAATTTAGATAAGAATAGGGTAGTCATTTTCATTCGTCAGCAGGCTGAGTAAAAAAGGAGTCTACTCTTCCCTGACTCCCCAAATTGCTAAAGAAGCATTGCAGACAGATGAACTAAGTCATAAACCCTGAGCAAACTCTCCCTCCTCACTCATTGTTTCCTTATTTAACCCTTTTAACTTTCTTTATCTGATCAAAGAAGGCCTAAGGACCAGCACCACACTGTTTGAGGGTAGATAAGGCAGTTGCCTTACCCTGGGGCCATGTGTTTCCTGAGCTTGAAACCAAGTAAAGGATCTCCCGCTAGCCACATGGACACAAATGTACCTGAACTCAAAGGTATACCTCTGCACCTGGTTGAGAGTGGCAGAAGAAGCACTTTTCCTTTGGTAATTTCTTGGTATCACTAGGGCATGTTTTTATTTTCTCTATTCCTCAGTGAGAATGAGGTGACCTCCTATGAGCAGGATTTTTAAGAAGAAAAGGAAGAGCGCAAGGTGCCTCTGAGCCTCCCAGGGAAGAAGGAAGGGAGCACCTGTGAAGAATGTGGCATTGAGTGGGAAGGCTGGAGGGTGAACCACTGAAATGGTTCATACAACTTTATACGGCAATGTCTGATTATCACTAATTATTGTAACTCTGAAAATAATGGCTTCCCCCTCTAATAATTCACTATTAGAGCTGTACTGTGCTTGTGAAAGCAAATAGGAACACAGCAAACACATCACTCCTAAATGAGCTCTGAGGGTTCCGGAGAGGCTCACGCACAGAGGAGGGGCCAGAGAGCAGAGCAAGAGGATAGAAGGAGCTCCTTGTTTCTCAAGGCTTCCAATGGGGAACGCCATATGAGGCTCCATGGAAACCGACTTAGCAAGACAGACAAAAATTTCAGGTACAGAGGCCAATGATCCATAACTCTATCACTGATGGTCCAAGTGATCATGAATGATGAATGCACAACAAAAGTCATGGGAACTTTCAGGTCAGCTTCACCCATTCAGAGAATGCTGCAAAACCTCAGTCATTCAGACCTCCCGATTTGAGAAGTGGTAGGCACATAGGTTGGAATTAAAGGTACTCAGATAAATGTGGTCAACATCCTACTGAATCTTTGGCCTGCCACAGGCACTCAAAGTAGCCACACATCCAGGCTTGTCCAAAACTCACTCAAGACATGAAGCAGACACAGCATGTGTGTGAAAAAATGTAATGCTTTTAGCAAACTGTGGGGTTCCAAATGTAAGGTAGAGGGATTCGACTTCACAGCTACAACTCTCTCTTTCTCTACTTCCAGTATCTCTCTCTCTCTCTCTCTCTCTCTCTCACACACACACACACACACACACACACACACACATGCGTGCACACATGAAAGATACATTGAATCCAGAAATGATTCAGGCAGATTGTTTAGGTTATCTAAACTCTGCCCTCCTACCCCACCCACCACCTAAACATCAAGAACAAAGTAAGTTACAACAAGCATTCTTTTAAAGGCATGGTGAGCTTACAAGAAAGAAAGGGAAACCCTTATGTTTCAGATACAGAAGGAAAACTGATAACCAGGTCAGAGAGTGTGGGAGCTTTTGTGGTTCTTTGGCTATGGGAGAGACTGGTAGGAAGGGCTTTGGTTAACAGCCCTAAAGTACTTTAACTGCTGTTTTCACATAGGCATTAACAGTCAAACCCCAAGATTCCAAAGGGCTGCATCTCAGTGAAAGAATGAACCAGGAAAAATCTTCAACCCAGCCACCAGCACAGATGCTGTCTCTTCCAGAGCCTTCCATAGAAATGAAAGTTTTTCTGAGAGTTCATATTCACAAGCCTTCCCTTTGTGAGTTTCAGGTTAACTATTTTTGTGTCTATATATTCTTAAAAACTTAGGTTGAAA